GCGAGAAAAGGTTTGAGAAAGCCCCAATCTCCTTTGAGGTCTTCCCCATTTCACTTCGACACCGTCGCTGTCTCAGCTCATCTGACTGACGCGCTTGATCACGCCTACAGGTTGTCCAGTAATGATAATCTTTACAAAGTCTGATAATTTCTATGGCAAATACATCAACAATTCCAGTGGCCATGTCATTTTATTTTGAAACGAGCGGCACCGGAGCCTTACCTTATCATTTGGAGTAGATCCTTGGTCTCATTGTACCATTATTTCAATACTCAGTGTGAGGGTCACTTTTAGTGTGATGAGAACGGCTTCTTTTCTTACACGTTACCGCATGTGCATACAGAATCCAGACCTAGTAGACCGTGTCTTCTCGTCCTTGCCTTTCTCCCTCATGTCCAGTCATCTTCTGCCTTTAACTGGAATGGTCACGAGGGAGCATGTGGTAGTGAGTTAAATCTATATGCTAAGTACTTTGTAAGTAGGGAGGTAGGTTGGAACATAGGTATGCCCCTAAGCTGCAGTCCGTTGGCGCTCATCACTGGGGCTTGTGTCTGCCTCATCGCACAAGGGCTGCATCTGCCCTGGCATCTGTGACTCTGTGTGGCCGCTTATGCACAGTAGACTTTTGGTCACAGCTTAGCATTGCCGACATTGGGCAGTGAGCAAAGTTGACTGGTAGATACCTATCCAACGTCTGGTGATTGTGACGACCGTACTCGGCAGTAGCGTCAAGTGCAGTGTCCGACCTGTGATCGCACAGCCTCCTCATCCGGCCAAACATTTGGTGAGAATAGGAATGGTGGGGTGTAAGCTGCTGGTAACAAATTGAAGGGGACGGCCTGTAACACGCCCGAACTGTAAGTGGTGGGACCATTGTGGTGTGTCCATCCGTACGAGATGCGGCTTTGGCGCTGTGGCGGCTAATATTTGGGCTTCGTGTTGGTTAGCTATTTACCTGCTTGTTAGCTTGTTTGAAAGCGACTAGTGTCCTTGCCATGGTTGGATTGAAACACTGGTTGAGACAGAGTTGATCGAGACGGGATTCTGATACATTCAAGTGGGTCGTGGCCAGTAACTTGTCTCAATGTCCTCTACACCTATCCTTCGTAGTTGTACCTATCCACTGTCTACCTCTGTACTGACGTTGAATGACCCGATGATTGAAGCCTGAGTGTTTAACTGCTCTATTAATTGACAGGCTGGGAAGCGATAGTTCGTTTCCTTCGTGGCCCCCAATCAAATGGCGCTTTTTCTCCTCTATTCCTAGTGCGAGATCTCAAGACAATGTTTCTTCATCGCGAGTTCTGGGGTCTTTCGCTTGATAGTAGTCAATAATAGACACAGTAGTAAGACAGAATTGCTATTTGCTACCTGTACCCCTCCAGAGATAGACAAATACAAGTAGTCTCTTAATTGTATGGCGAATAAACTACTATTCTTGACGAGTTCAGCATCCTGTCCCGTATTACCTGTAATTACTTTCCGCTGCAAAGGCTCTCTCCAGATATCAAGTCACAAATTCGCCCCTCGTACAAGATCGACGAAGAAGAACCCTCAACCAGCATTCTCATAGGGAAACTGAAAGTCCCTATCTATAATATAATCCTGCCTTAGTATATACATCCACAGCGGCCCCTCTCTGGGTGATCCAAGGTTCAGTCCCGGCCAACACCCGGACTTTTCGTGTGCCTGTCTTACCTTAGCTACTCTTCAACCCCCCCTAAACCCAACAATAAGAAGAAGGAGGAGAATCAACAATAAGTGAGAAGTTTCTATTCAGCTCCTTATCGTACCAAACTTCCAACAAGCTATTGACGACTCCTTGAAAGATTGAGGGTAACTATCGATATAATCAGTCTGGCAACGCTGAAATTGACGTCGAATCTCCATATCGATAAGTCACTACTATCATTAGCTACTGCCGATCATCAGCGACAATATTGGGTCTCCTGTACCAAATCTATATTCCTGTAAACAACTCTCGCTATCCCTCCTCCATCTACCTAGGATCTATTTACTCCTTCTATCTATGCATTCGTAACATATCACCGAATTTCTCTTCGGGAATCTCTCAGTAAGTGTTATTTCACTCTATTTCTTTCCTTGTTCCTGACCAAAAGCTGCCCCACCCCACTTAGACCTTTCCGCTCCCTGTTATTATTGCTTTCTCCAGCCCCTCCGCATCACGATACTACTCGATCTTCCTTCTCCTCCTCTGTTTCTTGCGCTCTGCCTTTTTTTTCTACTGCCTGTCTTAAACGACGTATACTCTATCATCGTCTTGCTGCAAGCTGTCTGATACACTGGAAGCTGGCTGTCGGAGCGGCACGCAAACGAAGATAGCGGCTAATTCCATTCAGGGGAACAACAGATAGCCATTATCAGTTACCTGGGGAAGTATCGAGTCTTGGAGACCACAGAAGCTAAAGCTTGAGCTTCGGTAAGGTCTTCCAATCGCGTTCACCATTCTTTGTCTAAATCTTCCCTGAAAAAGCCTTTGACGGCCCTGACATTGAAGCTTATTTCATCTCTCAAAGACTGACTCGGCGCCGTCTAGACGTCGACGTATTCATCCGAAGAGCTTCGTGGCTACATCTCAAGCTCGTCAACCCGATTGCTTGAATTCGACTCCCTATACCTTCGAAAGGCCGGCGTGCTTGTCTGATCCACCTTTTCGAATTCGTATTACTACGCTGCTTTATACTCGTTCAGCCCCCCACACGGATCTTACCCCGCTTCAAGCCTTCCACAGATCCCAGGCGACTTTCAGCAATTTCGAGCGCGACCACGGTATGAGATTTGGCTACAATTAAATCAAGAATTATCGTCCAAAGCTACGATTATCACGGGTTAAACGAATGTAAGCGCCGACTTTCATTATCTGTTTCCGAGCCACTGTGTGGCTCATCAGGTTGCATGCCCAAACAGTACTTGATAAGCCCTCAAGCAGGAGTGCTCCAACTCCTGTTCTGAGGCTTCTTGAGCTATTCCAACAATGATGCACTGTTGCGGGGGTGACGTTGAGCATGATCCGAATTGCGACTATCACTTTTGTAATCCAAGAGCTCGTGGCTAACCTTCTTTGATTCTGAAAGTTAGCAACCATGGTGCAGCAACCTCCTCAAGGAGGATCAAGGAAGATCTCCTTCAACGTTTCTGAGCAATATGAAATTCAAGATGTCATTGGAGAGGGTGCTTACGGCGTCGTTTGGTGGGTGATCTCTATTGTCAATAGCGACAGTCTGGCTCTGATACTGACTTGTTCCAGCTCGGCTATCCACAAACCCTCTGGTCAAAAAGTTGCCATTAAGAAGATTACGCCTTTCGATCACTCAATGTTCTGCTTGCGGACTTTGCGTGAAATGAAGTTACTGCGCTACTTTAACCACGAAAACATCATTTCGATCTTGGATATTCAGAGGCCTCGCAACTATGAGAGCTTCAACGAGGTGTATTTGATTCAGGTACATTCCTCGACGCACGCACGCGCACGTCTAGACCTCGAAAGGCTGATTGCTTGGACAGGAGTTGATGGAAACCGATATGCATCGTGTCATCCGCACCCAGGATCTCTCTGATGACCACTGCCAATACTTTATCTACCAAACGCTCCGTGCACTCAAAGCCATGCACTCAGCTAACGTGCTTCACCGTGACCTAAAGCCCTCGAATCTGCTACTCAACGCCAACTGTGACCTGAAAGTCTGCGACTTTGGCTTGGCTCGGTCGGCTGCCTCGACCGATGACAACTCCGGTTTCATGACAGAATACGTCGCGACTCGGTGGTACCGTGCGCCGGAGATCATGCTGACATTCAAGGAGTATACGAAAGCCATTGATGTCTGGAGTGTTGGGTGCATCTTGGCCGAGATGCTGAGCGGGAAGCCCTTGTTCCCTGGGAAAGACTGTAAGTTGCTGTGCCTCTGGGAGGAATTTCCTTGGTGAAGCGTTCCGCGACTGACTGAGCAGACCATCACCAATTGACCCTCATTCTGGATGTCCTCGGAACACCAACCATGGAAGACTACTACGGCATAAAATCGCGCCGGGCTCGAGAGTACATCCGCTCTCTCCCCTTCAAGAAAAAGATCCCATTCAAGGCATTATTCCCCAAGAGCAACGAATTAGCATTGGATCTCCTGGAAAAACTTCTGGCTTTCAACCCCGCAAAACGTATCACGGTGGAAGATGCTCTACGCCATCCGTATCTGGAGCCGTACCACGACCCCGACGATGAGCCCACGGCTCCGCCTATTCCCGAGGGCTTCTTTGATTTTGACAAGAACAAGGATGCTCTCAGCAAGGAGCAACTGAAGAGTTAGTTGTCGCTTTATCCGCTTGCCTCATTGAGAGCCCGCTGACCAGTCATCCGCAGCCCTGATCTACGAAGAAATCATGCGGTAGAGAGACAGTGGCGTCTCGTGCAGTACTCTTAGACTGTATCCGATTTAATGGCAACTCTTCAGCAGACCTTGAAGGCAGGATGAAACTCGACCATCTCACCCGCCGATCCAGGGACGGGTTAAGCTCCTGCACATATTATCATAAGCGCATAGAAAGAAGGCTCTAGCGATATGCTCACACATGTCACCTATTGTGATTCTCAACAGCATTCAACTTCCACGACTCGTCGCACCGTTGAACATCTTTCCACAATACCCGATTCTGCCTAGGTCCTTCTGTTGTACTGAATAGGATATCAGCGCCGGCCGTATGCGTTTGTTGTGAGCACATTTCCATGTTTTGGCGTCCAGCTAGTTGTTTGTCAATCTAGAACGTCCATACCAATTTCCTTGTATCTTACGTCGGGTTTGATGAACGAAATTTCTTCTGGATGTGCAATGCTGTCTTTCCGTTCAGTGCAACTCTGTCAACAATAGCTCTTTGGGGTATACTGAAGAAATATTATATCTTTACATGATGCCTTGGAATCATCGGCAATGCGACGAAACGGCTAGACATAAATACAAGTACAGTAGCAGTCATCGAGCACGCTTAGATCATACCCCCTTTCTCCGCCGCATGAAGGCCTCAATGCCAGCACCAACACCTTCCGGACTAGGTTTGTCCGCGCAAACATCCGGCTGGAATCCATAATTCTTGACAAGATGATCTCTCGTCGTAGGCCCGATAGTCGCAATGAAGATCCTCCTCTCCATCCCGCTTGCACTCCCATCAACCAGCGCACCGGTATCTCCGCCAGAGGAGTCTGTAGACGTAGAAAGCAGCCCCAGAACACGAAGCATCGCATCGCAGCCCGTCGGCGAGAACACAATCACCCAGATCACCCTCTCCTCCCCGACCCCGTCAGCCAGAGCCACATACTCCTGTCCGGCGCGCACCGCAGCTCGAAAATCACCCTCAAAGGACTCCATCACCCCCGTCTCATACACAACAAGCTCATCCACCTGAATCCGCTTAGTGGGGGATAGTGACTCATCCATGAGTGTCCTGGGTATGATGTCGCGGCGCTGTTCGCCAACAAGGAAGAGGAGGGGAGGCTTCACGAGCGGTGTGCCTCCGCCATCATACAGCGCATTATAATGCTCCAGGATCGCAAGCGCAAGTTTCTGCCCGTCTCCGGCGTCGGAGCCGTAGATCGTCGCATGGGGCAGATGCGTGTCTCGTAAGGTAGTAAGGGAGCGGGATGTCGCGGGTCCGACGGTGTACAGTATCAAGGAGCGGGATGCGTCTGTCGCTATTGAGACTATTAGAGCTCGTTAGCTTGTGCATGTTCTTCCTTTTTTGACATGTCTGCTGTTGGCAGGGCAAACGTACCATCTACTTCGGTGGTGACCAAGCGCGCGAACCCCTCCACAGCGCGCTGGCTGGTGAATATCAGCCCGCCGTATTTCCGGCCTGGGCCGGCATTTAGACTGCCTGAGGTGAAGAGATCCTCTACGGTGCGGAGGTTCGTGTGGTTGAAATGGTGCTCGAGGACTGGGACGAAGGCGGGGTTGTAGCCGTGGGCGGAGAAGAATTCCTCGTAGCCATCGTGCGGGGTAGATTTCGTCTTGAGGAGCAGGATAGGCGTTGCCGGTGAGGATGAGAAGGAATGTGAAGGTGAGGCGGTCATTTTTCTCTGGTGTTCGATTGCTGAGCTCGTTTACTGCCGTTTCGTTTGATATGTGTGGGGTAAGATACGCTCGGAGCCTCGGAGAGTAAGGTAAGTTGATCGGTGGAGTCCTTAGCATAGCTGTGCGAGGAGACAGTTTATGACCTGTTTGTTTGACCATGCAGCAGATGTCCTATTCCAATTGATAACGTAGATTAAGCCAGTTCTTTTTGACATATAATCACCGTATGTACGCGGCTCCTTCGGAGACTCTTCAATACGTCATTACTGAATGGATATGCCTAACACACTGGGATAACACAAGGAAATTGACTGGGTCTAGTAAACTTATGTACACACTTAGAAGAAACAGAGACGACTACTGGTCGTCAAGAACGTGCAAGTACTTCTTTTCCTCCTTTCTTTCGCGCTCTGTGGCGGGAGGCAGATCGTAGTAGGAGGAGCTTCTGTAGCCTTTCTGTTGGAGGGATTAGTATCGTTAACCACTTAAACGAGGGCGAATGGCTTACCAGGTAGTGGAAGGTGAGGTCGCTGAGCTCGGCGGGTTCAATACCGAGGTCTTTGAATGTCTTGGCAGTCTTGTCAATCTTCTGGTCAATGAACTCCCGCTCCACCTCATCGGCGGAGATGGTGTGCCACCAGAGGAGCTTGTTCAGGTAGTAAGCCATAGGCTTCAGGACAGCCTTGGGGACGTTGATGTGGCGGCGGTGCTTGACGATTTCACGGTCAACCAATTCAGCAATTTCCGCAGTAGAGTAGTTCTTCGGTCCATAAAGCTCGAAAGTCTGGCCGGCAGTGGTGTCGTCGTGGAGCATCAACTCGAGGGCGGAGCCAACATCAATGACCTACATAACATGATAAGCGTCGCGCTCCGAATTGTTAGTTTGGTGGTGAGCTTACGTGAACGGGCCAGAAGCGTTCCTGCATGTGGTTGGAAGTGAAGAGGTTGGTGACACCGGCGAGCTTGTGGAGAAGATTGTCCTCGAAACCAAACATGGGAGCAGGCCGGACGATGGTAGTCTCGGGGAAAATTGAGCGAGCAACCTCCTCACCCCATGCCTGTACGATCAATCAGCATTTCCAGCATTTCCATGCAGCCACCGCTCGCGAGGGGACCGAAACGGACCTTTGTACTGAAAAACTCGGAGGGCGAGTTCTTGTCGGCGTTGTAGGAGGAGACGTGGATAAATCTGTCAACGTCGTACTTGGCGACAGCCTCGGCGATGCGCTCAGTTCCATCGACATGGACGTCGGTGTAGGAGAAGTTCCTGCGAAGCATTAGCCGTGCCCCTCTTTCCCGACCCCATGAAACATGACGCGGCCACTCACTTCGTGGGATATTGACGACCAACAAGGTTGTAGACAACATCGGAGTGACGGACACTCTCCTCGATAGATTGGGTATTCCGCAGGTCGTATTCCTAAGTGATGCTCGATTTAGCCCTGGAAAACAGCCTCAACGCCTCCGAGATTAGACGCTCACGTACAATGAAGACAACTCTTCCGAGATCACCAGTCGGTTTGAGGTGTCTCTTTGTCATTTCCTCGCGGAAGGGAACAACAACCGTGCATCCCTGGTTGGCTAGTTGCGAATCAACATCTGCTTCCACTCTGCGGCTCACCTCGTTGACATACCGAGCTTGTTGACAATGTAGCGACCGAGAAAGCCAGTGGCACCAAAAACAGTGGCGGTATGACCTAAAGCAAACGTATTCATGTTAGGCGAGCTGCAAGCGACGTGAATTGCTGGCGATGACTGGCATACCTCCGAGAGAGGACCTATAACAAAGCTGCCTGTTAGCATCCCAACTACCGAACAATTCCGACTCAATTGTTCTCACCGTCCGCCCTGAACCTTCAGAATTGGCTTCCCAGTTCTAGTAATGGCGACATCCTGGAGATTCCGGCGCTGTACTTGGAATTGGACCTGAGGGGCGGGGACGAATGCCCTCGACCCCAGAGCGGAATTGACAGCCCGGCACTTCTGCATGGTCTCTCTTCAGCTCGCGGTCCGAATGAGACCACCGTGTTGTGTCCGGATCGGTATTGCGTGGATTGTGTGAGAGATGGAGGTGAGAGCACAGCTCGGCAGGTGAGTTTCGGCCTTGATGCTGGAAAGTCGTTCTCCAGAGAGCGAATTGCAGCACGGGACTTTCGCACTAGTCCAAATTCGGACAACAGCCTCCAACAACGTCAATGACCTACGATCAATAATAGTTACTCTTGCACTGTAGGAATATCTGCAGACTATTCGTCTCCATAAGGTGAATTGGATAATCTCGAGCGGCATCCCCATTCGAAGTCTAATTAACGCCAATCTATGCTGGGACACTGTCATCTTGTGCCCTCAACGCGAACCCCCATCTGACTATTCGGAAATTCTGATTGGACGTTGGAGGTGACCAACCTTGAACTGATGGTGTCTATACTTCCCTTGACCTCTTTCTGATACTTGAAATGTTTTGGCCATCCGAAGCCGCCTCGTTCTGCTCGGGTGGCTGACTCTGAGCTCCTACAGGAAGCTCATCTCTACTGAACCGGCTACCCTGGAGCCTGCAAACGCCTTCATGTCATTTGTACAACCATCACGGTCTGAGGGATATAAAAGCGAACATGCTTGAGAAGCGCACGGCGTGTACTAGCTGCGCTGAGCTCTAGCGATGAAAATAGTCTTCCTGAGTTCCTTTCCCTCCTTTCTGAACACTACTGGCTCCTGAATGACGTGGTAGTCGAACTTCTGACCCATTCCGGCTTCTTCGAACATCTTTTGCATGCTCTCCGAGGTGAAGCCATGTGTTCTAACTGTCGCGCTTGCCTGGGGGAATGCCTTCTGCAGGCTATTCGAGGAGTGCTCATCCTCTGGTACCAAATCGATAATCAAGAACATGCCGTCCTTCTTCATCCGCTCACCAAGGCGTTTCAACGCCATGTCAGGCTTGTCAAAGTGATGAAGGGCCATGCTCACAGCGACGAGATTGAAATCGAAGAACTCAGGCCCAGATAGATGGTCCGGCACGGGTTCAGCGAGGAGGTCGCCGTGGTAGCCATGCATCTTATCCGCAAAGCCCGTTTCTTGGGCGTTGATGTTGAATTGCTTAATCATTTCTTCGGATACGTCCATGCCAACAATATGGTCGACGAACGGTGCTAGCGCCTTGTTTTCAGATTCAGCAACATACTCCATCACCTTAGAAGTCTGTTTGAGATACATACTGCGGAGACAGCACCAGGCCCGCAAGCATACTCGAGCATCCTGACTTTATGGCCTTTGCCCGACTCGGTGTCGCTCCAGGTATCACTGATCCATGAGCGACGTCCTTGAACCTCATTGAAGATCAATTCCTGGCCTTGTCGGAATTCCTCCCTGTAGGAACTAGCTAGTTTACTGTGTGAATTTGTAAGCAAGGTACTCTGCATCCAGCAATGATCGTGGACTGACCTAAAATATTGTCTGTTCAACTCGGTAAAGTCCGACATCGTGACGACGTTTGGAGACTTCTGAGCGATATGTGAAGAGATTTGATGTGGAAGAAATGTAGGGAAAGAGACTAAGAGCGTTATAATCGGTTTCAATCAGCTCAATATAGCTATAATAGAGTATTAAAGAGGATATGTTGAGCTGGCACCTCTAGGACTGCCATGTATATATATATATATACTATCATTCGGAGACATATCGGACACATTATTATTGCTAGAGGCGAACTGCTAGATCCACTACCGGGGTCCTGGAACAGTTTAGTCGGACTGATATCATGTTACTGCCTCTCTAGTACTTTAAATAAGACATGCTAATACACAGAGCTCCCATGTGGGTCAGGATGCTACCCAGCCTCAAAAATCAGTTATCCAACCGCAGACGACGTAGTAGGAGGGATGTCATCTCTCCGGTACTACGGCGGCGCAGAGACACCGCCCAAGCTCCTACGCAACGTCGCCAATCTAAGACCTAAGCATCCTTGCGCTCACGATTCATAGAACCAATTCCCGAGTCTTCTACTCCGCCACTAATTATCTCTTCATCTCAAATACTTGTCTCTTCTTCCTTCCCACCCTCCGTATCCTCGCATCCCGCAAACCAGCATCTCTCCTTCACTTCTCCACCATGGAGAACCAGAAGATCTCCGATTTCCTGGCAGACCAGCTGCAACAAGCTCCAGAGCAGAGCCAGGCCTTCTTCCTCAGCTTTGAAGACTTTTGGGAACGGAAACTATGGCATCAATTGACTAACGCTCTGGTGGAGTTCTTCCAGTTACCTGAAAGCGCTCCTCAGCGGTTACCGATATTCAAGACGTTTGTTCTGAGCTTCGCCGACAAGATCAATCAGCTGAAGTTCGTCTCGTTGGGTTTGATGGCATCAACGGAATGCGCAGGTTTGTTCGACATCCGTCTTCCATTCTAGCTAGAAAGGGAGAACGCAAGGTAGCATCTGACTGACAGTCCATGGGATGACAGATGACCAAGAGCGGCTCTCCTTCCTTACATCACTTGCCGAGAAAGTGAACAAACCCGACACACAAGAAGCTCACGTGTATGCCCTTGCGGAAGTTGCAAACGTGAAACAGCGACTACAGGACTTGGATGGAGCGCAAAAAGATCTGGAAGTATGCCAGAAGGTTTTGGACTCCTTCGACTCGGTCGAGACAGTGGTGCACGCTTCCTTTTACAAGGTCAACGCAGATTACTACCACGTAAGTCGAACGGCCGATTCGCATTTATCTCCCTTTCCGAACTAACCATGAACATACGTGAAGGCCAAACAAGAATTCGCCGCCTATTACAAAAACGCCCTTCTTTACCTAGCCTGCATCAACCTGGAGGATCTCAGCGAGTCAGAGCGTGCCTCCCGCGCATATAGCCTGAGTGTCGCCGCCCTCGTCTCAGACACGATCTACAACTTTGGTGAACTCCTACTGCACCCGATCCTGGACTCGCTCACCGAGACGCCGCACAGCTGGCTGCGCGACCTCCTGTTTGCCTTCAATCGCGGCGACCTTACTGCGTACGATGTCCTGGCCGGCAACATTTCCAAAAACAAGCTGCTCGAGCAGCATCGCATTTTCCTCTACCAGAAGATCTCCCTGTCAGCACTCACAGAAATGGTCTTCCGCCGACCCCCGCACGACCGCAACCTCACATTCGCGTCGATCTCCTCTGAGACCAAGGTCAAGCCCGAGGAGATTGAGCATTTGGTCATGAAGGCTTTGTCCCTGGGCCTCCTCAAGGGTGCTATTGATCAGGTTGCGCAGGTCGCTCAGATCCACTGGGTGCAGCCCAAGGTTCTGGATATGAAGCAGATTGAAGGCATGCGCAATAGACTCAAGGATTGGGATGCTGGTGTGAATCAGCTGGGTCACTGGATCGAGGGAGTTGGTAAGGACGTGTGGGCTGCCTAGAAAGTGAACCTCGTAACGATAGGTACCCTTTTATGAGCCCATGTTTCTGGCCTTCGAGGGCACTATAAGGGTACTGTTTTGCATGTATGTACGGACCTTACTAGAACACTCTGAATAACTAGAAAACAACGAGCGCGACTGGACCTTTCCAGTCAAGGATGGGCTCTACCTTTTAGTAAAATATAAGATTCCCAAAGGCAACGATATACATATTTAATAATATGAGGGTGGTGTATGAACAGTAGCCCGAATGTCGAGCCATACCTGACCCCAGGATTTAAAGAAGAGACGATCCTAGTAAGACACATCCAACCACCCAAGCAGGCCACCAGACACACCAGACAACCACCTGTGTCCACATACCCCAGACATTCCATCCGAATGCTGCCTGAGTCAGAACTGACTCAACTGACACGCCTGAGTACCGACATGCCCCAATGAGAACCGCAGGAGGAGAAAGGACATTCAAGGCTAGCAAACCAAGTATAGCGATGGGGTACCGCAGAGCAGCTTTCGTCTGGGGATTGATGCGCTTGACGAAACTAAGCGGTGCGCAGAGTAGGCCAACCATGAAAGATAGAGAGAAGTTCAAAGTGGCAAGGGTAGAGAGGAACAGGCCGAGGAGAAGGAGCGAGAAGGATTTAGTCAGGAAATATTGCTGAGTTGTTGGAGAAGAAGTGAACCCATGGTTCAAGAGGGCTGACACGATTAGGGGGAGGATGACCCCAGCTCCGAGGCAAGTGTAGGTCGCGGTCGTATAGTACTGTTGGTTGTTAGTAGGAGTCTTGGGACTACGTCAGTGCAAAAGTGAGGAGACTGACCTTGTGATGGATGTTATTGAAGATGTAAAGAGGGACCAGGCCGAGCAGGTGTAGCCCGATAACTAGGGTGAGCGGGAGCGCTAACTGTCGCTCCAGGACACTGCCAGGACTCGGTAGCTCGTTGGGATTTGCGTCATTCAATTCGCCATTTTTCTCCGTATTCGTCGCTTGATCGGCCGGAGTCTTCTTATCCTGGGGGACTCCTCCGTTCGTGGTAGAGGTCGCCTGAGCGTGCATATAGTAGCCTGTACGCATCCACAAAGCAATCGCCATGATAGTGAAGTTTCCAGCAATCAGCATCGCACTTGGAAGGTAAGTACCTATACTGACGAAGCGATTGGTGTGCATCAGCAGATAGAAGAAGAAACTCTGGTGAAGGTGTTCGAGCAGGTTGTTGAGACTGCGACAGAGACTCTCCACAGTTCGACCCAGAGCCATCTCATCTTGCCAGCCATCTCCCTTCGTTTGCAGAGTGATCGCATCAATGTGGTAGGGCATAAAACTACTATGTGCCCCAGTAGCGTGCCCGAAGCCCTGCTTGACCATACCCCTGAGGATTGTCTGCAGGCGCTTTTGATAGCTATCATCATGCTCCCACATTTCCTGTAGGCTGGTTCCGATTCCCATCTGCCCCCCGGCGATTGAAATGGCTGTATTAAATAAATCCAAATTGGGCAGTTGCCCGTTGACGCCATCGTAGACGATATGTAAAGACTCGAATCGATGGTCGAACGGGTATTCAATAACGAGCCCTCCCTGTAGGGCACCGCTCTTCAGCGGCAGAGGCTGGACCGAGGACGGTTGCATGTCATGATACGCATCGATCCACGCCTGCGTTCCGGATTTGCTGTCTGGCGGAAACAGAAAAATGATATCTTTGGACCACAAAGACCAACCTAGAGACGATCGTCATCAGCACGGCTCGAATAACACCCTTCCCCACAATGCATCGTGATAAGATTCGACCCACGCTTAAAGTATCTTGCCAGCGTCAGCGCAAGGCTGACTCCATTCAAGTTCAATTCTCCATCAGCAGTCTTCCACGCAGCAACCAGCACAATCGCTTCCGTTGCATCGCCCCGTGGCGCATGGATGATCGCGTAGACATTCTGTCCCTCATGCGTGATACCCGAAGAAGTGTACTCGTACTTCTGCGTCGCAACTTTCAACCCGGCCGCTCGCAAGATCGACTGTATCTGATCCGAAATTCTAGTCACGGATTTGGAATTAGCAATAGGACGCACGAGACCACACCATTAAGCAGTACAAAGGTGTAGCAGCACCGTCTCAACGTACACTGGTGTCAATTCACTATCCTTCGTCTCCTGACCTTCCTGGTTTCCAGAATTCAACAAACTTTGGAGTTCCCTTTTATACCCGCGGAAGATGTTCTGTTCACTGCCTGCGAAGTAGGCATGGACCTGGCCAGGCAAGAGCGCATTCTCGGAGATGTATGTTCGACGGGCGTACTCCTCGAGAGGAAGGAGAAGAAGCCAAACCACTCCTGCGATTATGCAAAGAAGCGAAAGTATATACGGCAGGCGTACGAAGAGAAATTGAGGATTGCTCCGCAGTTTGCGGATCACGGCTGTCACCCGGTCACTATCAGCTTAGGTCTATTTGAAGCTGCCTCTGATGATATTATGGGGTAGATGCTAGGGGATGCGTCGCGCGCAATTGAGATATATTTGCGGATGCACCAACACTCTGCGCGTAATTTTGAGGTGATTAACTTACATTTCAATGCCATGGAATTGAAGACATTCGGAAGTATCTTCCCATGCCGGTGTTGTTGTAAAAGGGCGTGGAGGGCAAGTTGAATGAATCGGAACCAGCATCTCCGCAATAGCTGGTCTGTAAATTTACGTCGGCCGGTAGTGACCACCTACACAAGTCGCTCAAAATAGACTACAACTAATGCGAATGAATTAACAAGTTTTACCTGATACACATAACGCTTAGTTAACAAGTATATCATTGATTAATATGCACACAAAATTGAAATTTCTTCCTGCTGAGCGTGGTAGCTTCAAGGACCGAGGCGCTGATTCGTGCCCAGATAGCTCAGAGGAGTGGGCCTCTCACCCGGTACGGCCGCCGTCGCCGTAGGAAGAACACCATAACGACCATAGGTCTTCTGATCTACTGAGACATAATGTGGCAGTCGTCCCAGGAGGTTCAGCTTTCCCTCAATCCATCTCAGAATCTTCTCTGGTGGAACGAACACCTTGAGATACCCGAGGCCGACTAGTAAATAACACATTAGTCTGAAACCAAGAGAGCACAACGATAGACAATACTCACGTAGATAGCCTATTAAAATAGCGCTCAGGTGGCCCAAGAAGCTCGTGTTCGGCACGAATATCGATACAAGACCACATGCGAACAGCGGTGACGTCCATGTCGGAATCTTCGTCGTCCCAAGACTATGAATAATTAGATCTGCAGACTTCATCGTGGCTCGTTCCGAGTTGGGATACCTGAAGTATGGGTTTGACTTAAACGTCTTTATAGCTTCGGAGCCCAGCAGTAGGAAAATCCAGACACTAAGGATATGTTAGAATACTTTCACTTTCGAGAAGGAGGTCTTCAAATCTCACCTTGCTCCAACCACAGCAGTGTTGCTGTGCAGGATGAATTTCTCAATCAGGATGTATATACCGGCAGGGAAGGTTGAGAGAGCTGCGCATAGATTAGCCCACTGCAAGCCGAGCCCCTTGATATGGCATTTCTGCGATTCCTGAATCTGAACTGGGAGGACATACGGCCAATGAATAAAGCTACTGCAGTCAATGTACCATGCTCAGCTTCGAATCGCTCCAGCAACGGTGTGAGGGCTAGCAGATTCACGAAAGCGTGAAAAAAGCCGACGTGAATAAATGGATAGGTGTTTAGTCGGTACACTATTTTCTCGCGTCAGAACTGTTCGCACGCAAAGACGTAACAATCGACTGCAGATTGGCCCGCATGGCTGACATGGACATACTGCTACCGATTCCGATCTCATTCGGCGTCAATGACCCCCATTGTACCACACTCCATATAGTTTGTAACTCGAGCAACCAAAATGCAACGATGACCAATAGCACAAGGCGTGTGAAAAGTGGTAATCGGAGCACATACGATCTCACCCTGGTAGGGTTGAACGGTAATGGCGGCAAGGCGGACGGGGTCGCCATGTTGCTTGGTAGGGAAATGACCCGAAATTCCCAAATCACAGGATGCGCGACGAATTGAGTATATCAAAAGTGACGGTCAACGTAGGAATGAGGTGGATGAGTATGCTGCTTGGTTTGTGTTGAAGTCTGCTGTCGAATTGAGATCGAAGGAAAAGGGTTGACGTCGGTACAACCGAAGAAGCAATCAGACAAGGTGTTCGAGGGAACCGAGATCGTGATTCATCAATCAGTCAAGGACAATGCACTATATGTCGTAAACCAGAATTGCCGGTGTCCAGGTCAGTGTCTAGGATGGATGCAAACAATGCAGAAGCCAAAAAGCATGCGATGCGGACCACACGACTCGAAGTTCGACGTGCTTTATGCAGAAACAGTCTAAAGAATATAAACCTGCAAGACTAAACTGTGAGCTCGAACAAAATACAAGGAGGTAATGCAGCAACCTGGATTTGGACTGAAAACAATCAATGGCTCAGGGCTCTTTGAGGCTACTTTACTTTGTCTGAGTGGGCCTTTCAGTAACGCGGATCACGGGGTCACGTGTGTGATAAGCGCTATCGGTCCAGTATCTCCAGCCATGCATAAATACGAAAGTTGATCCTGAAAATTGCAATCTCATTTCTTCTAGCTCATTAAATCATGACCAATTATATACGAGATATATGTCTGACTTGTAGCATCAGATTAAAGGTACTGCTGGAACCACGCAACAGCCTGGTAGAAGGCCTGCTCCTTGCAGAACTTGAAGTGCTTGTTGCTCAAGTCAGCACGGACAGCGAAGCCATGTGTAACGCCGCTGAACAGATTGATCTGCCAGGGCTGACCCGTCTTGATCAGAATATCCTCGGACTCGTGACGGAGTTGGGTGGTGAAGATGTTGTCGATTTCTAACAAATTCTCAACGTCAGTCACGATCTTGATGTTAACCCAACACATCCTCGCGGATCAACTTACCGGAGGCAGCGATAGAAAGGGGACCCGCGATGGCAGCGAGCTCCTCCTTGGAGATAAAGGAGGGGTGGGCGGTGTAACCGACGTCGATCTTACCGGGCTTCAAGAAGCGGCAGACATACTGATCAAAAGAGCCATGTCAGGAACGGGATGTCCAAGAAAAGCACCTTGCAGTTCTCAAAGCATGGAGCTTACCTTTCCACCAAAGCAGTAACCGACACCAGCGATTCTCTTGACTCCCAAGTCCTGCCTGAGGTACTTGATTGTAGACTCGACAACAGGGTCGACGTTGGCCGTCTGGTGCTTAGCAAGCCATGCGGGAAGATCAGCCTTGCCGGATTCCATGTCACTGAGCTTGATAGCGTCTTTCTGGAAGAGATCGGGAATAACGGCGAGGTATCCATTGGATGCGAACTCGTCGGCAAGCATCTGGGCGTTGACATAGATACCAAAAATGTCGCTCAATATAACGACGGCCTTCTCGGGGCTCTTGTTGTCCTTGGGGTATGAAAGGTAGGTTTCAACTTTGAAGACTCAGCATCGAGACCATTTGTGTCAAGAAGGAATAGCAAGGCTGCTTACCACCCTCGACAGTCTTGATCTCCCCAGCGGGATTGCCTTCGTGCTTGAAGCCAGAGGCACAGCAAGCTCCGGGAGGATTGGATGCCATCTTTACTGGATATGAGAATAGAAAACCGCGTGAAGAGCGTAGGTTTGACAATGACTGTGAAAGATGCGAAAATAGCTGATAGATAACGCGGGACAGTCGCCCCTCTTAAATGCCCGAAGAAACATCAAGGAACATCCATCCAATTCGATTTCGACGCAGGAGGCCCGCCCGCTCTCCCCACTCCAGCCCCTCATGGACGCTTACTAATGGTTTACTATTCTATGTACTACACACTGCAAGGTAAAAGCCATCCTGTGTTACAGCTTCGACAGAAGTGCTCAGTCCATTGACACATCTAGAATCATGTTTTGTGGGACTTAACCGGGCCTTGTCACATTCTCCCTCTGCAACGTCTGTCTGACAGTGTTGACTTCCACCGAGCCACCGAGGTAATTGAAGCATCGGGTAATCGGGAGTATGGCTAAGCTTTTCCTCCCCGTCGGCGGAGGCTCGGGGATAAACACATAAATCGTATTAAATACGCTAGAGCGGATTAGTTCAAAGCCTCAAATGATATGGAGTAGCAGCAAAACGTGCCTTGCTGAGGACGATTGGCTATTCCAGCGGCTGAACCTCCACCTGAAGAAACTTCTAAACTTCTGCTTGGCTCGTGCTTTGAAATCAGACTCAGGAGGTGGCACTTGGACAAGACTCTGTACAATTGTTCATGGTTTGTTTCATCCTATATCCACTAGGTAAGACCATAAGAGGCCTCTTAGGTATTATTCCCCCCAAAATCTGGTCATATCATTGGTTATCAACAACCCCTCATTAGCCATTCCGTAAACCATGTGTATCGTTCATAAACATCACAATGCATCAAAAAATGTGAAAACCCGGGCTGTGGTATATCGGGTATTATGTCATGTCACCCAAAGCCAAACACCTGGTCATAGAAGTCAAATAGTGTAATGGGTATAAAGAGATCACAAGTAAACATTAGATCCTCAAATTCATCCTGTCCAAGTTGTTTTTTGTTCTTCCATTTTTCCCTCTTTTCTCCGTGGGTCGTATCAGAAACTTCATGCTGAGGCGTGAAGCATTGATCTAGCGACGGGCATTGCAGAATCATTTCCGCATGATTCAGGCGGCGGGGAACTGGAAAGGCGGCAGTTGTGGTCGCGACTCCTTCTTCACCGCCCAAGCTTTGAGGGCAATAGCCAAAATCTCACAAGCCATGATGAAGGCGGTCACTCCCATTCCAACAGTGAACGTGAACATCGCATCCAGATTATAGTATTCCATGCTATCAACAACATTGCGCGTCTATCGGAAAAGATCAGTGACAATTCGTGGATTGAAAAAGGAGGAAAGCGAGGGGCTCAAGACACTTACACTTAGCATGAAGATCAACCCGCCAGCAATCAGGCAGAAGGATGCCACAATCTCAGTTGGTGGGCGCGACGGGAGATAGGATGTCGGAGGCTTGAGGTATAGTAAAACATAGGTCATGCCACGAGCCAAGGCGAACCCAACGAGAAGATTTCCCCATTGCTTGTGCACCATGGTCGAAATCATGCTCGTTTGATGGTGAGATCCCATCATCATTCCCAAAAGCAGGATAACAAGCGCAGGCATTGGATTGAGGGAGACGCCTTGCGTATCAGGGGTCTGCCAAGCAGGGTCTGCCGAACCATGTACGCCGGCATGAGCGGGAGACTGTAGAATAGTGCTGTTCAACCAGCCTCTGACGCGCTTGGATTCGAATAGCATGCCACACAGGCCACCGCCGAAGAACATGATCGAAATCGACACATGCTCAAGGTCCGTGGCAGACCATGCGCCGCCCCACCCAGCCAGATGTTCCAGAAAGACATTGCTTGCCCCGTAAAGGAAGATGACGAAGGATTCGGTAAACTCGCCAGAAGGAATCTTCGCCTTCCATTTGCCGACGATGGAGCTCGAAGGTTTGACGTTCCACGCCCAGCCAAAATCTGCCCAGCAGCCCATCCAGCGGCCCAGGGTCAACAGACCGTACCAGAAAAAGATTCCACCCTTGATGAAGTGCGCCAGACCGTTGAAGACTTCGCTTCCGCGCTGCAGGTGAACTCGATTAGCGCCATCTTACATCGAGGCAACTGGGATCTAGAGAGAAGGTGCTTACCATGATGCCACCATAAGTTACAGCACCGGTTGCAATAGCGACGAAGCCGAAAGGCAGGATAATCCTGTCAATAACCAAGGATACAACATTCAAGACCCGGAGGACGCGACCAGATACCATGCCAGGCACGCGACTGGCAAAAAAGCGGCCTAAAATGGTGCTATGTAGCCAGCCGCCATCAGCAGGCTTCTCGAGCACTTGCTCGGGCTTCTCAAAGGTATCATATTCTTCCGACGGAGATGAGCAGGAGGGTGAACTTGGCCGACTGTGAAGAGAGGAGTTTCTTTCGGTGCCCTGGCCGCTGTCTTTTGACCAGCGATAGGCATGATGGATCCCCGACGGATAAGGATGCGAGTTATCAGACATTTCATCGGTGGGCACAGGGAGGAATGCTTCCTGCTCGTATGCCTTTGCTCTCTCGCCTCTACCAGCATAGGCGAAGATCAACGACATAACGACCTGTGCGCTGATGACCCAGGTCGCAATCCATCCGATCTTGTGGTGAGCATTGTTCTCATAAAGATCAGGTGTCTGACTGTTGTAGATAATTCCAATAAGCAAACCAAAGGCATTGCACACCAGGAAGACAAATTGCGATGGCAGTGCAAATCGCGAACGCGCGACACTGAACATGACGGCTATACATCACTGATCAGCAAGGTCCGGAAGATGGCGGTTGCTGAGATTTCTTACCTGTAGGCAAGACGAAACACCATGCAATGATCATGAGAGCGATGTGAGCCATTATGGTTCCCGAATGCTTTCCGTATGCGAAATAACTCATGGGGGATTCATCGTTTGCGTCTTTAGGCGGCTCCGACTTTGCTGTTTCTTCCATGTTCATGTTCATGCCCATGTCCATATCCATGGATTCATCGTCTCCGTGAGGAAGCGCATTGGCGATGGATACAAGTAAGAAGGAGGCCGCAAATGCGGCGCGGGATGCTGCTCGCAGCATGGGTGGTTTGTTTATGGTATTATGGAGATAAGGACTGAGCTAGAAGCTTGTTCTCGGTGGGCAGCGACTACAGAGAGCTGGAGTTGAGGAACCTAAGCTCCAGCTCGCCTGATGGCTATTCCGATGGCCTGATTGTCAGAAATTCTGATTGCGCAAAACCGCAGCTGTACGAGTTGCGGTGTTCAAGTGCTACCGGCCCTGGCGCGCAAGAATTACGTTAGGTATGCCTGTAGGGCTGAAGTATGGAAGGAGACAGCCGAAGGAAGAGGGAAAAAGAAGAAGTAAGATGGAATGGGAACCAGGGGAGGAAGTAAGAT